TCCTCTCATACTCTATAGAATGTCCACATTTAAGGAATATAGTATTGTGCCAACACATTTTTGAGAGCATTTACATATTTATATTCTTTTGTCCTAATATGATGATTAAATAGTCCTGCAGACTGAGCGAATTTAGATTTGTTTAGTTGGATTTTTACGAAACTAATTTTAACAAGTCAGATTTATTCCTTATATCAGCCATTAGATTTAACGAGTGCTTAGGTTTTCTGGTCCAGGGAATGTAATTAAGTTAGTTTTTTTATTAAAATGTAAACAGCTTATAATAAAAAAATTAATTTGCAAAATTCCATCGAAACATTCATAAACGAGCAAACGTTTATTTACTCTCCATAAAAATAATGTTGAAATTTTAAACTAACAGTTTTTTGGAATTTTTTGTAATCATTGGACAACAGCGCTTCAATATACTGAATTATTTTTTATCTCTACAAAATGGTTGAGAAAAAAAATTATATCTTTTTATATTTTAGGGTCGAAAATGAAAAAAAATGTTTACACCAAAACTTTAATTTTATATCATTGTGGCATTAATCAATGTAACTTGCAAGTGGATTATGTAAGTGAAATAATAATCTTCACACAACAATTCATTGTTTTTCCAGTACAAACAATACTTACTAAAATAAGCAACAAATTGTTTTACACAGAAATTTCCAATTATCTAGGTCAAAAAATCTAAGGCTCAAAATGTAAAATACTATTAGTCTCTACAACGTCACAAGTCACAGTTAAACATCCAATGATTTTAATTTAAACATAATAACATGGCTGACAGTAGGTCTGAGAAAGATAAGATTGATCCTTTCCACGACTTCACAACTCTACAACACAATTGTCTGGGTGCTGAGTGTGGTTATTGTCATCACCTTCAAATCTGTATGTCACTGGTTACTAGCCCAGATGTCATTGTTATTAACATAAGGTAGTAACAAGACCAGGGTTTGAACCGTTCGGCTCCCTTACAAAAAACGTTGATGGAATCGTAGCACAAATAAACAAACTCTTTTATTGCTCCAGAACGAGAGAGCTGATGAGCAAATTCATGAGCCAAGCATCCACGATGCAAGGGGACGCTATGGGGCTGCAAGGGATGACAGAACAACAACAGCCGACAGGGGTGACGTTACCTTGGGGCTTCCCACAACAACAACAACAGCCACAGCCGCAGCCGCAGCCGCAGTCATACTCCGTGGAGAGCGAAGCTAGGAGACAAATGGAAGAGCAGAGGAGGATCAAGAACACCTGGGTTCAGTTCCTCACCATATTCGACATGGCGCTGGACATGGCCAACGATGTGTCCAAGGACCGCTGGGAGCAGAATCGCCGTAGAAAGGTCAGTGTCCATTATGTTCCAAGCTGTAGCCAATGTTTTATACAAAATGAACACAGTTGGATGAGCCTGTCACAGAGTGCGCTAATAAATAACTTCCTCTAAATCTTGATAAAACAAAACTTGATGTGACTTAAAGGCTACTACAGTATTAGCCTAGACGTAGTCCTTCCAGATTCGCTTGGTTGAAAAGTGGTTATATATTCCAGAAATTAGTGATTTTTATCAGCAAACTATCTGTCACTGTTATGTTAAGTAAAAAAACTGGCAACAAAGGAATGCAATGCCTAACTCTATCCATCTATAGTCTATGGCGCTTGACATTTAAAATATCGTCTGGGTTTAGAGACTTGGACTGTTACATTATATTTTCACTTTTCAGCCTTAGTTTGTTACTGTCATAATTTGTTGCTGACATAAAAGATGCTGTAAATTATATAGTAGGGGAGATCTAAATCAGTGAGTGGCAATAAATACTCTGTACTCAATGATCTGTAAGTGGCAATAAATTTTATTCTAAAACTGGCAACAGATTTAAACGTGGGAATGGAATGTCTACTTCTATGAATTCTCAATGTTAATGTGCTAGGCAGCATTTCAAATGCAAATTTTTAAGAGGACGGAGATACTATAAACAGCTCTGACATCCCTATCGGTACCACAACTAGGACCAATACGTTCTCCGAGCATTCTATTGAAAGTGTTCTCTTCTCCTTTATTTTCAAAGGGAATCCATTTCTAAATAATAACCATTGATTGATTTTTAACACCAAAAATCTGTCTTTAATTCATTATAAGGAAGAGAATTTTGAGCTTGTTGCAAAAATTTAAAATGTAATTCCCTCGAACAATATAATTCTTTTAGCATACAAAAAAGTGCCTCTAAGGACTGTACAAGCTTATTCATATCACATCTAACCTCGTACCCTCGTAACCTCTTGTTCGTAGTCTGAGTAACCTTAATTTGAAACAAAAACTTCATAAGTAATTTTATTGTACTTTTATTTTAGAATGTTCATAATATTCCTGTCTTAGAGAGATTCTTTAGCTAAAAATATGACAGTTCCACACAGAAGGCAAAAAATATTAGAAAATTATAACATAGCTAAAATGTATCCAACAATTGTTGAACATCAACAAAAGACACTTTGCAACCGAAAATAATCTGTCACACAGGAGAGGCAGCGGCTAGAACGAGAGCAGCGGCTGGAGGAGTTGCGGAAGGAACGACTAGAAAGGCAGAGAGGCTCCAAACCTGAGCCAAGGCCTGACAAAGGGAAAACAGCGGACAAAAAAGATGTAAAACCAAAAGAAAATAAAGTTGAAGAGGTAAGAAAGGACGAAAATACAAAAGAAACACCTAAAGCTCTGACGGATAAGTCAAAAACTCCAGCAGAAAACAAACCGAGCACTCCAGTAAAAGATAAACCAAAGACTTTGGAAGAAGAAAACCCAAAGCCTCCAGAAAATGAAACCCGACCAATACCAGAGGAATCGGTCAGAGTTGAGCCTAAAGATGAACCAGTCGCTCAAGATGTACCAGCTGCTCAAGATGAGCCTACACCTGACCCAACAGTCAATCCTACCGAGAATACTAAAGAAGAAGAGGCCTAAGAGAGAAAGGGGAAGTAATGAAACCATTCAGAGATATATTTAAGACCAATGTTATAAGATGGAGAAAACATTATTATTTAACATAAACACCCATTTTCACTATGATAAAAAATTGATTCTTTATTTTGTGTACTTCAGAGCTAATTTGGTATCTTTCTAAGGACTTCTCAGCTTCATTATACGACTGCCAAAGGAAGAAACAGGAATGAAGATTCCAAAAAAGCATGGGTATGTGTAATTATGACAGTCGATGAGCCATTTACCATTAGTGGAAGTTACAGACAGAATCTCTCGGATAGCGAAGTATCACCTTTGATGGCTCTCCCCTAAGGCCTCTCGCCCACTATACGATTTCGGTCGTACGACACTGTGTCGTACGATATTCTTATCATATGTGTGGTCCTCGCCCACTTTACGACACTTTGTCGGATAAATGGCCAGTTGCTCGGTAGCCCTGGAAGAGTGAGGTGTGGGTGTGTTGCGCAATATCTTAAAACAGTGGTTCTGTATCAAATAGTAAAACAATGATTCCGTTACGTGTTGTTGCAATGTGGATGCTGTGGCGTAGATTAAGCGATAGTGGCCAATGTAGGCCTACAGCATTAAAGAAACATTTATTTTTATGTGTAAATTATTTTTTAGTTAATGTATTGAAAGAAATTTTCAAATTATATTAGTCCATGCATTTTACAAGTTTTTAAATTTACCATAACTATCATAGGGTTTTGGGATAGTCTGGTAAAAAGTATGTATGTTAATTGTTTTTGGATTAGTTTTTAAATGGATTTAATTTTATCAATATAATCTACAAAAATATATATTTATATGTTTTAGTGAAACTTTTTTACACAATATAATTAATAATTAAGATTATACAATAATAATAGCCAAACTCGCATTTTTCAATAATTATTTTGGTATATTTACTCATAAGTGATGCAGTATTTAAACATAATATAAGGAAAAATATAAACAAATTGTAAAAAATAAATAGGAAGATCAAAATTACGCAAAATAATGGTTGGAAAATAAGACCAAGTGATATATCAAACATTATAATAAAAAAGTATGAATGAATTGTAAAAAATATTTATTCACGATAAAAAATACGCAAAGTGATATAACAACTATAATAATGACTAAGTATGAGTTAATTGCAAAAAGTATATATAAGACTACTGGGGAGAACGCACGACATACGATAAAAATCGTATAGTGGGCGAGCGCCCATTTGATTGTGTACGCCACTGCGAGTGAAACAGTCGTACGACAGTCGTGGATCACAGTGGCAGTGGACGACTGCTTCACGACAGTTTGTCGTAGTCGTGAGATTATCGTACAGTGGGCGAGCTCTCATAAGATCCAATGGTTCACTGTGGAAATGTTGTCGTTCCGACACAGTGTCGTACGACCGAAATCGTATAGTGGGCGAGGGGCCTAATGGAACTCAACTCCCAATTGTTCAAGTATCAGCCAAGTTACAATTAAATTACTAAACCTTTATCTCTAGGCTTAAGCCTCAGCTTTGCTACTGAGGATGCCTTATCGTAGATGGGGCAAAGCATCGGGTTACGTATATATTTTGAATAATAACGACTTGACAAGGCTCTCACTGGAAGACCGAGAATTCACTTACTAACCCTATTTAACAGGTTTAGCCTAATAGAGCAGAAATTATTTTCATTTCAGACTTTTTTTGTAATTGACGAATCAACGCAATTGTATTATATTGGGTGTTTTACAACTAAAATTATTTCTAGCGACAGGCCAAAGAAGCCACACTTATTTTAATAAGGATCAATCATAAAAGAGGATTAGTGTATGATTATTCCCAAAAATTTGTTCTATATTCATGGGATTAAAAATAGAAAACACAAAACAAAACTAAACTGTTGATCTTGAAACAAACTTGGTTTACATGCTATGTTTTTATCATAACTTTTTGGACCATAACATGAACATATAAGCCATAAACAAATACACATAGCCACTCAACATATAAACCGTAACTTTACACATGAAGATATCTACTTACCATTTTGATGGCAACATGCTCGTTGTTGTATAAATTTTTTCCTGAAACAAAAGACAGTGTGTTACTACAAACAATTTAGTGTTTGCATTGTTGATGTCAACAGTAGTTTTTCCATTGCCAGTGATGTATTGTAAATTGAGATGCATTGTGTAAAGTGCAGAGTTATCAATCATTGTTGGTAAACTGGCCTCTGTTCCCCTCATATCAACGGGTCAACAAACAAATGGCTACAACATAGCCTAAAACTGGACTCAGCTATACTAAAAACATATATATCGGCCTAAGCCACAAAAAACCTGCATGCTATGCTAATTTACAATTGATTTATTCAATTTGCATCCAAATACCAATGTTCATAAGAAGGCTTATGAAGTCGTTAAAAACATAAATTAATTAGTTATATAATATTGATTTAACTTTTATTTTAATCAAATTATGTGAAAACTTTTTATATGTTGTTTTATACACTCTATATTAATTACTTACTATGAATATTTTTTATGCAAGCAATGAGCAAAAACCAGGGAACTTGCCATGAAGACTACAGTAGTAGTAACTATACCCCTTTGTAAGTTGTTGCTGAATGAAATCTAAACTGTAAATAATAACAGTCTAATGGTAAAACATAACAACGTACTATAAAGTTGTCTCTAGCAACAAGATAATTTGTCTGTTACAGCTGCCACTTTTAGATTGGATGTTATTGACAAAACAATCCAAGACTTCCTTTTCTACAATTCAGTATTTATTTTAAATCCAAACCATTCGTCATTTTCAAAGTATAAACACTTTCGATTCTAATTCTTGGAGTGTACAGCTATGTTACGTTAAATTTTATGGACTTAAAAATAGATTTTGTGAACATGTTAAAGGATTGATCTGCAGTCACAACTATTGACTTAGATGTTGATGTTTTTACAATATGCGATGTCTTAATAATTGTGGTATAGATACAAAATCATGCCAAAAATACATTATCAAGAAGATTTAATGCATTTTGAGTGGTGTGCTTTAACTCAAATATCCACTCCACTACTCAGTGTGTACTCATCTCAGTGTAAAGATGTTCTAATTCAAGTTCCCTGGCACTTGTCTCATACCTCTGATTGACATTGGCACAGTTGTGCTTTACCTCATCATTTCATCATCTAATTACCTACTCTACTATAACAGCTCTAGAGCTAGTTAACTGCTTTAAATTGTCTTCCCACACAGAATGCCTGCAAATATTGTCTGGCCTACTTCTTTATTCACACAACAGTATACTTATGAACTTGTTCTATCCTTCACGGATACATTTTTCATTTTTTAAAGCAAAAGCACATTTTACTGGTATATATATAAACTTTGGTGCTCTTTTTATCTATTGCTGACCAATTTCTTTTATAAATTTTATAACAGTATGGATCACATATTATTTTTTTGTTTATTTTATTTAAAGCATTATTATTTCTAATTGACATTATTATTATATGTTCTAGCTCTGCAACAGTATCAAAACTACTTGATATTACAACTATTCAAATGAAAATACCGTAGGTTACTAAAATTGTAAAGAAATAGTTATTTCCCTACAGTTACCTAACAATGTACATGTTCTCTCACTGATTTGAGAAAGCAAAGTGGTCAATTCGCTCACCAGTGAGACAATGTTAACATTGTCTCACTCCAGATTTGCAACGTGAATGCACGAAATAGTGAGCGCGTAACATGCAGGCAACGTCGTATGCGCGCGAAATACGTTGGCAGCACTGGCTGTAAATCAGCTGGTCAGCTGTTGTACTGTTGTATTTGTCACTTCACATTAAATGTTATATTAAAAGTTCACTTCTGTGTAAAAATAGCTTATGTTTCTTCACAAATTTATTTGCTTTATGGTAACTGTAGGAAAAGTATAATGTGCAACTCGAGTTCAATGTACAATTGCCTCACTCGAGAGAAATACTTACTCGTAGGCATCGAAGTTGGCCGTAGGCGAGTGAGGAATGGTTTCTCGAGTGAGGCAATTGCACTTCGCACTCGAGTTGCACATTATATTTTTCCTACAGTTACCATAAAACAAATAAATTGGTAAAGAAACGTGACATATTTCTACACAGAAGTGAACTTTTAATATGACATTTAATGTGAAGTGACAAATACAACAATACAACAGCTGATTTAAGCGGCCCACACACTACACGTGCAAGCACGTCGTGCCAAAAACAGACGAAACGTGCCAGTGTATGGTGAACACCGTGCGAGCACGGCGTGCACTGGCACGGCACGGTGGAAATCAAAACGAGTTTGATTTTTGGCGTGCCGTGCCAAAGCACGCCAGTCTGACGTGCTAGTGTGTAGGCGGTCCCCGTGCCACGTGCTAGTAGTTCAACCACTTTTGACAGGATTTGACCATATTTAGTCCTTTCTTATTGGTGAATCGACGGCATTTTGTCTTTAGCACGACCATCGAGATTATAACACAATGGAACACGCGCTGTATGCAACAAGTAAGCCAAGACGCAGTTATTGATCTCTATATAATATATAATAAAGCATAAATCCTCCACCATAGTACAGTATTGTGAACCAAGTGCCCTGCCGGCGTATATCTAAACGGCAGCGAGGTGCAAGGTCTGGACCAACCTTAGGCGGCTTAGTGCTGTATAGTTTCTATTTTTAATGATTAATTTATTATGTCCTTAAAACATGCCATGTGTGTGTGTGTTCTGCATTTAATTTGTACGAACAGACGATGATATTTAAGCATGTTGCAGGCTACACTGAAGATCAAGTGTGTGGGCAACAACGTGCCATGCCAGAGCACGGCGTGCCAATAAAAAAAATGGCACGGCGTGCAATGCACGTGTAGTGTGTAGGCAGCTTTACAGCCAGTGCTGCCAACGTATTTCGCGCGCATACAACCTTGTCTGCATGTTATGCGCTCACTATTTCGTGCCTTCATGTTGCAAATCTGGAGTGAGACAAAGTAATTAGAGTGAGACAATGTTAACATTGTCTCACTGATGAGCGAATTGGCCACTTTGCTTTCTCAAATCAGTGAGAGAACATGATGTACATTGTTAGGTAACTGTAGGAAAAATTATATTTTTAACAGTTTTAAAGCAATTAACAAGAACAAGATTGATTGAATTTGACCTTTCTACCACGACTCTACACTGTACAAACCAGGCCTAATATACAAATACCTAACCAACTGTAGGACCCCTAATTCCCCTTTTCAATCTGAGGAACGCAACAGTCAGTTAGTGACCACAATACCACGGTCAGTGACAATCAATAGCTGAGTGCGAAGATTGACCACATTATGTACTGTGTTGTGTATGTGATAAACACGACAGTGTCTGATTTCACGCGTGAGCGGCTGAGGCTGACACGACAGGACGGGTCCGCGGAATTGGCTAACTCTGGAACTCGCTAACCCCATGTTAAATGTCCTATCTTAAAATTTGGTCGATGAGAGGAACTCGCTAACTTGTTCGGTTTCGGAATTGGCTAACTCCGGAACCCGCTAACCCGCTCTAGAGCCGGGTTAGTGACTTCCGTACTAGGACAGAATTCGCTAACTCGGTCCCTCGGCGGAACTCGCTAACTTCCAATCAGAAGCGTCGCGCGCCGGCCAATAGGAGCAAAGCACGAAGATTGTTGGCCAGTGTTGCCGAAAGTGTAGAACCTACGATCCTATCGGTACCATAATATCGTATCCAATGAATAATTCGCAGTAAAAGCAATGGGGTTGATGTTAAATAAAAGTATATTGAGAAGTAGGCTATGTTTATTATTATTGTTATGATTATTATTAGCGTGTAAAATGCGTTATTATATTCTAATTTAATTGTTGTTTATTCGTTTGTAAAAAGATAGTTCGTTCGGTTCTTTTGTTGATGAAATATTTATTTTCATAGGCCGTAATTTGCTCCTTTTTCAAATAAATAGCATTAAATATATGAAATGCTGTAAATAAAATTATCAAGTTCGTATTTGGTAGACCGGGTTTGTAGACGTGAATGATTTTCCTTGATAGGCTATAATATGACTATTTAAAGGTCTATTTTATGTCTGTCGTGCGGGTTATGATTTTTATTAATTCGAATAACTTATCATTTTGTTTCAATGTTCTTATATTCATTAATCTGGCACTCCCCTCATGAAGCAGAACAAGACAGTCCGTTCTGTTTACACCCACAGTTGCACAATGGGTCATAAAAAAAGAATGGACCATTTTCAATAATCACTCTAGGGTTGGCAGTATAGGCCTATCAGATACTGTACGGTAGTAGGTTTTCACCAAGAAGAACATTATTCTCAGACGTTTGAACAAATATGTGAAAAAAACTATTATAGGAAACAGTAAACATGAATACTATAGTATGAAATAGTAAACATATCAAAACAGGCAATGTAAAAAGACTACAAAACAAAAAAGTCGTACCCCCATACATTTCTTATGGACGTTTCGTAGTTTGAACATGTTTGTAGACAATTTTTCTTTATCTCCAGTTTTTACAGCTTGCAGTTTGTTCTAGCCTTAAAATATTCTGTGATAAAAGGGTTTACATTTGAGCTATTGATCATTATAATGGTATGATTTAGAAACGAGCTACCAACCCTGTCACATTAATAATGTGACACCCTGAAGGTGCGGGGTTCGCATCCCGCTGGTAGTACTAATTTTTTGGCCTTGCAAACTAACAACACGTCTCCTCAATCATTTTCTGTCACCTGCCTCTTCTAATGCACATTATTCATTAAATTACCAAGATCATATTATAAATTGTGTTTCTTTCTATAGTCTAATGCTAATGTGTTGAAATGCATTGTATATTTATTTAATTTTACTAGGGTTTTACCATTATTTACATGCATTAGGTTCTCACATTATTGTTTTTGAAACGTCACAATTTTTATTTGACAAACATAAAATGGAAGCATAACAAAGAATCGGCTGATAGCTTCAAGGTCAATGAGTAAAACTTGCGGTAGTTGTTATTTTAAACGTTACAGTTTTTATTACTGAACTAAGATGTTAATGACAAACTAA